CTATCTATCTATCTATCTATCTATCTATCTATCTATCTATCTATCTATCTATCTATCTATCTATCTATCTATCTATCTATCTATCTATCTACATACCCACCTTTCTACCTACCCACATACCCACGTACCTACCTATCTACTTGTCCACCTACCCATCCATCCATCTATCTATTTATCTACCTACCTATCCATCCAACCAACAAAACAACCATCTATCTACCCCTCAGTCCTTCTGTTCATCCATTGTTTTGGAGTTGGGTCATGATGGCAGCAGCAGAGGAAACTCATCAAGACCACCTGTATCTAAGGTCTCGCTCTTTCAGTCACCCTGACTTGGTGACCACAGATGAGGTTAGGGGTGTAGCTTCCTCTTCACAACAGGACCAGTATAAAACTGCAGAACCTTGAACTCTTCAACTTGAGGCAGCCCCTCACTGACTCCCACCTCAGAGGGTAAATGACTAATTACCAACCTGCTGCCATAGATATGTAAAATTCAGCACTTGGAAGGTGGGCTATTAAAGTGAAAAGGTTAATTAAAGTCACTAGCAACCATCTTATCTCTTCCCCCAGAGAATGTGATAATTGGGGCCAGATAATTGTTGGGGGGCTCGTTAACAGCCTTTAACTGGTGCGTTTGTGTCGAACAAGCAGCCTTTCATATGACGAAGACACACACTCACACTTCCACTTTTCAGATAATTGTCGCTCTCGTTTTCAGAGCCCCTTCTCTTCTCCTGCACCAATTTGTCCAGAGTCCATCCATTCTGACAGAGAAAATGGGAATTTATGCTTTAATGAGCGCTGCTGTCCTTTAACTGGATTTGAGGACACATGAACACAATAAACGCACACACATGTCAACAGTTTACTTCCTTTCTGACAGCAGCCCTCCTCCTCTGTCTTCAATGCAGTCTGTAGGGACGTAGTGACGCACAGGAGCCTAAAGGCAGAAAGGTAAGAAGGTTTATTTCATTTTAAAATAGTGTTTGTGTGTAAAAGTAATATGTTAAAACAATAATTAGATATTTGGTTTATTTTGTAGTTTTAAGATCAATAAACTAAAAAAAACTGAATCCATGACAGTTAGATGTTCTAAAATGTATTTTATTTTGAACATTTCCAACATTTACAGAGTTTTGAATAGAATATTTGAAACTAATTAGAAAATGATTTTGATTTAGTGATGTAAAAATGTTTTACAAACAAAAAAAAACAAACATTACTCAACATTTATTGATCCTCAGTTTACACTTGGTTTTGTAAGAACATTTAAAATGTATAAAAAGATGAATTTTTGAATTCAGAAGTGCTGGTGTAGCTACAATTACAGCAACTCTTTGTGGGTATTATTGTAAAAATGTTTTGACAGCTGGGAATGTCCTTATATAAATGATTCAAGAATACATACAATTAAAAATTTAGATTTACAAGAACAAAAATTTGTGAAGTTTTATTATATCACATAT